ACAATCTGCGACAAAATGGATTACGATATGGATTATATAAATTGCAGTAGTTTGTATTTTATATTGTTTTATATTTTATGATACAATAAAAATTATTTCATGGAAAAATATAAAAATATAACATTTATAAACAACGCATATTACCTATACCTATCTTTTTTTTTTTTGTGATATCGACGACGCTGCCGGAACTGTTTGCGCATTACGTCGACAGCGTCGCCATCGTTTATTACATAAAATAAAATATATAAGCTACCTATAACTAGATATTTTTGTATTCACAATGTTAGTTCTTTTTTAAAATATACAGTTAACACGRATAGATTTGAATAAATCATATCATTTTATTAAGTATCTAATRCTATTAATAATAATTATCTTTAAATAAGATATGATTACTTTTTTAATAGATTCGGTTCAATACGATTTTCCTTTATGTTTTCTAATACTTGTTCTGGAAAYGGATTATAATAATCACTAGATATACCCTGGTGGATAAGATACATTAATTGCATTAAATAAGCAAATTCAATGATTACAATAAGAATTTCAACTTTTTTTGTATAATRCATTATGTGCGACGTAAAATATTGAATATCAACTCACTTCGTTCAAATAGTAATTAATCGTTTCATTGTCTTCTTTGCTCGTGACGATTTCTGAATTTTTCTGTTTTTGCCACATATCTTTCAGTATATTCAATTGTTCATCTGGGCTCATTGCATTACAAGCTTGTAATGATGATTTGATAGAACTGTCGAGTAGAACATGAAATATGTAAGTCCATACACAGTTAGTTATTATTATCACACTAGTTATTTGAAAAAAGTACCACAGTGCATAAAATTACTTTTTAGGTAACAGCTCTGATTTTATCATAGTATTTTTAATTTTCTTTGCGATTACTTTTTGTTCTCTCTGCTCTGCTTTGTTTCGCTGATATTTTCCAGACAACAAATCCTGTACAAATATAAAGTTAAATGATGTATAATCTCTAGAAATAATAATTACGTGTAACGTTTATTATAATATGTGATTGTTGTCTATAAATTGGTAATACGCTTATAAGTTTATACCGATAGTGGCACGACACCGGGACTTTTGCAATCAGCYGTGGAATTAGTTTTCCGTGATGTTTTGATTTTGGATTGACTTTTTTGTTGTACATGACGTAATAGATGACGATCTTCGTCTAAGACCTTATAGCTCATAGTCGTTTCACACGACCTGCTGATTTCGCGTAATTTCTTATCGAGTCCTAGTCTATAGTTGCGTCCAATGGACATTGACGGATGCATCAGATGAATTCGATGCTATATATACATGGAGATAAGCAAACGATTTACAATTTTTAAACAGAAAATAACACTAATGTTTCATTGTTTTAATATCACAAGACCGTCATCTGAGTGCATGCAATTATTATAATATTATCGATATTAAATATTTTACACTAATCGGAACACATTCAGTCCACGTATGACTACTGAACAGCGGAGGGCGGACACCACCTGTGGAAATCTGGTCCGAACACTTTTCCGAGTTTTTGGCACCGTCATTATTTATTTTTAATCGATTTTTTTTCATCTTGATATCCTGCGAATTACTTTATTGAATATTTTATTCTTATATTATTAAAATTATTACAATAATGTATGCCAACACTATAACTGATATTTTAAAACTATACCAAGTGCAACTATGTACCTAGGTGAATAATTCACTAACTTTTTTAAACAGGCAATCATTTAGATCTTCAAAGATTTCAAATGCATATTTTGTAAACACTATAAGCKTAAAACATTAGATAAATATATACACACACTATCGGGTGCCTTGGAAACTTAATTTATCAAATTTATAAAACGGTCTTCTGCTATACAATCTGAAATATAATTTGTTTTTTTAAAGTATGAAATGCACAGTGATCGGTGATTTAGGCTTGTACAGTTGTCCAACACGTTATGTAGATACGTCGAGCGAATTTAAACAAATTCTATTTCAAACGTGTTTTTCCACACGATCTTAAAAATATGGAATATTAAATAGCTGAATCATTCATTTAATATTAAAAATACTATACATCTTAATATCTATAAGAATAGTGCTAATACATTTTTTTTACGAATTTTGCATACTGCTAGATATTAAAAAAATTATTTAATGATTTTAACAGCAGCTTTGCTATAGGTCCAAAAGACACTGCAGGGAAGGAGAGATTATGCGGCAGCATTGAGAAGGACAAGGCGTGTGCAACAATATGTACGTGCATTATTCTTTCTCTCTCTATATAATATAGTCTTAATTTTGCCAGACATACGACAATTCATTATCGTATTTGTACGATGTGCGTTTGGCAAATCCACATATCCAGTATCCACGGGCTAAAATAATATATAAAGATATAMTGGACTGGTATTGAAACAATCTCGGTGTTCCACAAATGTCTGGTGCTATAAAAATGAAAAAAAAATTGAAAAACAGAAGAAAAAATTGTAATTTCAACTTGATGAATTATTTTTAACTCCAATAAGCTAAGTTATTTCAACCTGTCAATTAAACTAGTTAAATATAAAATTTAATTAGGAAATGAATTAACTAGTTAAGTTAGAAATAAATAAACTTTCAGCTTAACTTAAACATTTTAACTAGTTAATGTCCACCTTTGTTAAATTTACTTAAAAACAATAACGCATTAACTAGTAGCCACCAATAGTTTACATGATAAATAATAGACCTATTGTTTGAACTAGGTTTACTTTAGCCTTTAGGTCTATAATCATCATAGATAATAAAAGAATGGATAGGCCATTAGGCCTTATCGCACGGAGATGAACATTATTTTACTTTGAGGTTTTACAAGGGGTTTTATCAATTATCAAAATATCAAAATTGTTATCATAGAAATWACTTGTTTATTTATTATCACAGACAGATATCAGTGAAATAAAATAAATGATAATACCTATACCCATTACTAAAGTGACACTATATAAAAGCAATTAGTTTCTCATCCATATTCCGGCACACAATCCCCAGTGTTGTTAATATAGGAATGGCCTATCCATGATTTTATTATTTATGATAATCATAAACGACAAAAACATTACCTATATGAAGTTATTATCTTAGGTTGATGCATGATAAGAGATGATTAAGATTTTATGATTATAATAATTATTTATAAACAATGGATATAAATTAAAATAATAGCCGTGATTATTATACATTTGTACTGTTCAGGAAATGTACTAATTAAGACGCTAAACTCTATTTTAGTTATTATTATCATAGTATCATATAATATTATTGATAATATAATTTAATCATCACATCTACTTGACAAATGAAGTAAATATAAGACAAATGTAATATGTAATCAAGGCTGTATTCATCATCAGTAGTGTTGTGTGACTATGTGCATTTAGTCACAGTTTGCGTTTAGTTAGTTAATTATAGTTTGCAAGTCATAAATATGTGTGAGTTCAGTTCCCGTACGCTTTATGTAATTAAAGACAAACTTTGGGCGCATTTTTTAAGATCCGTAACGTACCTACATACTCACAGTCACACTACACTATATTTTGTAATCAAAAGAATCTCAACTCCTGTGGATATTAAGTCCCGGAAAACGAAAGAAAATT